AGGGGCCCCCCCCCCAAAAAAAAAAAATATTTGGGCTTCCAAATGGCTGAAAAGTTGGGGTTGGGCTTTGCGGTTGAGGTCGGGGTTGGGTTGAAGGCAACGGCACCCCGAAACGTGGTCGGTGAACGTCGTGGTTGGTCCCTCAAATTGAGCTTGAGCTTCTGCCGAAGTCAATGTCACCCCAAAATTCATCGTGAACCCCACGGTTGACGATGAACCCTCACGCTGACCCCTCCAATTGATCTTGATCCTCCTCCAAAGTCCATGACACCCCAAATTTCATCATGAACCCCACGGTTGACCCCTCAAATCCATCTTGGACCTCTTCCAAAGTCAATGACACCCCAAAATTCATCCATCAACCCTCATGTTGACCCCTCAAGTCGATCTTGAACCCTTCCCAAAGTCCATGACACCCCAAAATTCATCATGAACCCCACGGTTGACCCCTCAAATCCATCTTGGACCTCTTCCAAAGTCAATGACATCCCAAAATTCATCATGAACCCCACGGTTGACCCCTCAAATCCATCTTGGACCTCTTCCAAAGTCAATGACACCCCAAAATTCATCCATCAACCCTCATGTTGACCCCTCAAGTCGATCTTGAACCCTTCCCAAAGTCCATGACACCCCAAAATTCATCATGAACCCCACGGTTGACCCCTCAAATCCATCTTGGACCTCTTCCAAAGTCCATGACACCCCAAAATTCATCCATGAACCCCACGGTTGACCTCTCAAATCCATCTTGATCCTCTTCCAAACTCCATGACACCCCAAAATTCATCCCTCAACCCCATGGTTGACCCCTCAAATTGAGTTTGATCCTCTTCCAAAGTCAATGGCACCCCAAAATTCGTCATGAACCCCACGGTTGGTCCCTCAAATCGGTCTTCAACCCTTCCCAAAGTCCATGACACCCCAAAATTCATCCATGAACCCCCCCCTCGGTTGGTTCCTCAAATCCATCTTGAACCTCTGGTGCTGCTCCTTGAACCGGGGCTGGGGTTGACATCATCGTGTCATCATCGTGTCATCATCGTGTCATCGTGTCCCCTCTCCACCCCCAGGACCGTAAGTTGACCAAGCTGGAGCAGCAACGGTTCAAGGAAGAAGCGGAGATGTTAAAGGGGTTGCAGCACCCCAACATCGTCCGCTTCTACGACTCTTGGGAGTCCACGGTCAAGGGCAAGAAGTGCATCGTCCTCGTCACCGAACTGATGACATCGGGCACCCTCAAGACGTAAGCGACGGCGGCGCGCGGGCGCGGCAAAGCCGGCGACGATGCCGACGGTTGGGTTTCTTCCGTCTTTGTAGGTATCTCAAGAGGTTCAAGGTGATGAAACCCAAAGTTTTACGGAGTTGGTGCCGACAAATTTTGAAGGGTCTCCATTTTCTCCACACCCGTACGCCACCCATCATCCACCGGGACCTCAAGTGTGACAACATCTTCATCACCGGCCCGACGGGTTCCGTCAAAATCGGCGATTTGGGGTTGGCCACGCTGATGCGAACGTCTTTCGCTAAAAGCGTCATCGGTAAGAACCGTCGCGCCGAAAAAGACGAGACGGGTCGCGCCAAAAAAGACGAGCTCGGTCGCGCCGAGAAAGATGCCCGGCGAGGTCGGCGGGTTCTTACCTCACCGGCGTTGCCGTAGGAACGCCGGAATTTATGGCGCCGGAGATGTACGAGGAACGTTACGACGAGTCGGTGGACGTCTACGCCTTCGGGATGTGCATGTTGGAGATGGGCACCTCCGAGTATCCGTACTCCGAATGCCAAAACGCCGCCCAGATCTACCGCAAAGTCACCAGCGTGGGTTTCCCGGGGCGGGGTCGTAGCGACGTGGGTGTGTCCTTCCGTCATGGCGGCGATGACGTCGTCGACGGGATCGATTTCTTTTGTAGGGCATCAAGCCGGCTAGCTTTGACAAGGTGACGGACCCGGAGGTGAAGGAGATCATCGAAGGTTGCATCCGGCAAAACAAAGCGGAGAGGTGGGAGGAGCCGGGAGGTCACGCGGTGGGACATCTTGAAGGGTGACCACGCCTGTGACCACGCCCTCACCCGTAGGCTTTCCATCCGGGACCTGTTGAATCACGTTTTCTTCGCGGAGGACACGGGGTTACGGGTGGAGTTGGCGGAAGACGACGGGGGTTTGGATTCCTCCTTGGCGCTTCGCCTTTGGGTGGAAGATCCCAAGAAGTTGAAGGGCAAACACAAGGACAACGAAGCCATCGAGTTCAGCTTCGACCTGGAGGTCGACGTCCCCGAGGAGGTGGCCTACGAGATGGT